AACATCTTAAGTCCATTTAAAATGCAGTTATTAAATAAAACTCTTCTTCATCCTTTAACTGTACTTCAGTAACATTAGGAATTCAGTCTTTCATAGAAAGAATCATTAGAAACTTTTGTGGTTTTATAATAAAAATGTTGGAAAATTTACATATGCTTACATAAACTGCTTGCTAGCATTGTAAAGCATTCAATAGCAATAAAGGCATAGTGAGGTTGGTGGTTATTCTGTGTCTTCTTTATGAAACCGCAAAGTATGAACACAAAACAAGATTAATTTCAGTCATAGTTAATTGGGTGCTGATACAAATCCTGATTAAAATAGGATGTCCCATTGCTTTGGTTTAATTCGCCTGGAAGGATGTGATAAAATGAGTGTCTCCAGAAGCAGGAGATTCACTACACACTTGTGGGGATATTCCAAATGCTTCAGTGGCAAAGGAATGAAATTGTGTCTAGCACGTATGCAAACCTGTTGTTTATCCATGTGGGGAATGCTGGGGAGATGTGGGGGGTGGAGTTCTCTCTTTCTTTTTTTTTTTTTTTTTAAACGAAATTGTGTTTGAAAAAGTAATTAAATATCATTAAGTAGGAGAGTTGTACTAGAATCAGTTCCAGCTGTGGAATTGCTGATACATGTCCTCTGGTATGTAAGGGGTTTTTGGGGGTCTTTCTAATGCAGTCCTCTTACCATGATAGCAGCAAGGAAGATGCTACACTATATTCTTGATTTTGAGTCTAAAATGTTAGGATGACACATTGGGTAAATACTGAGGGGGGAAAAGAATACTTCTCTGTCCTTTGATAAGTAGATATGTGTGAGGATTCATGATGTATGTGCTAGGATTCACAAGCAAGAACTGTAAAAAGTCGTTCAGTTTGCAGTGTTAAGAATACAGGGGGGGAAAAAAAGCCAACCCTAAAGGGATTTTCATTTACTATGTGAATATTGGGGATGGATGAGGGAGTGATAGGAAATATTTTTGCTCCCTCATACCCTAATCCCTTGGGAGTCTTGGCGCAATTAAAGAAGGGAGGTTTCCTTTCACCCGTGTTTTGTTTTCCTTTTACCAAAATTTCTGTTTAGTCCCCTTAATTCCTTACTATTACTTTATGGAGTTAATAAAGCAGGGTCAAATTACGGTGTGAAATGGGTAGGAGAAGCTGCGATGCTGGAGAAAGTTTCTTGAATTTGAGAATCTTTCAATAGTTAGAAGAATGAGGTTTTCATTTTGCAGAAGCTAGAAGAGCAACCTGAGTATTTCCTTCTGCGATGCCAAGAGCTGCCTGGAGGCAGGAGACCTAGCGTACTGAGGTGACATTGGTTTATGACTAGATTGGGTACGATTTCTCATCTTTCTCTTCCTTGTTGTTAAGAAGCACCATGGTAAATTGGTGATTACATGAACCGTGAACCATCATTATGCATACTTCCCAAGAAATATGCTGGTGTAAACACAAGGGACATATGCAGAATTAAGGAGCTGAAGTTCTTCAAAAGACCCAGATGCCCTTAATCCTGCTTTTGTTGTTGTGCCTTGAGAAATTTATATTATCTTATGCATCCTTAATATCCATTTTCTCAGTTACTGCATATGCAATTTTAGCTTGTAAAGTGGCAAATTTTTATAATATTTTTTTCATATTTGGTATCTGCAAATAGGAGAATTTCCAGAATTCCTTTAAAATACCGAAAGCAGAGTTTACACAGAGTGAATTGCTGAAGGAACGCATATCTCTTCATGAGGTGTTTTGTTGTTTGTCATTGTGTGGTGAAGCTTGGAAGATAGTCTGTGATGTAAATACTTCGTACGGCTTGTTAAGTTCTGAAATGGGATGATATGGAAAGAGGATGCTATGAGAGATTAATGGGACAAGAAAGGAGTATATGCAGTGTTGGAGAGGTCTTGCTGAATAAGGTCAGTGTTACGTAGTATGTATGTTCAAAAATCCTACAGGCAAAGAAAGGTTGATGACAGCTTGTGGTGTAGCCTGTATTTCTGAAGAAATTTTAACTTTGGATTTTTAATTTATTTTTAATTTTCAGTTTCTTAGAGTATAATATGCATTCAGGTTTTTTAATGTAATCTCATAGTCATCAAGATTAATATATAAATAACCTTATTGCACCACCAAACAATAAAGGGGAAAAAAAAAGTGACACAAAGTAAATCTCTTTTTATTGCAGCCGAAAATTGATTTTCTGGCTTTTTAGGGCTTGTCTCCTGGGGAAGTTGACAGCATAGCTGTTGTGTAATACCTGTTGAGCTGTATCTGTGCAGTGCAACTCCCTGAGGCTGGTCGTATATTCCTGAACAGGAACATGATCTTTCTAAAAGTATAATAGTCTAAATAATGACTATACTCTGTAAGTACATGAGACAGAGGAAATGGAAGCCACCTTGCTGCTGAATGAGGAGTACATTGTCATTGAGCACAGTTTTAATAAACTTGTATGTGTCAACTTCATATTGTTGTTGTTGGTTTTTTGTCTTAATTTTACTGAAGGTCTCTTCTAGGCAGGTTGATCGAGGTAGATAACCACTGCAGCAAGTGTAGAATGAATCCCTGATGGCATGTTGTCATATATACGCTACATATTGTTTCATTATTATTATTTAAATCAATAAAAATATGTGTCTTGATCTTAATGTCTGCTAATATTTGTATATATGAATGTACGTGCAGGTCTTTGTTCCTTGCCAGCTGACATGCAAAATGAGGGAATGACTGAAAAGAGGGTGGTTCTACGCTTGAATGAACAAAGTCATATTTTACGTTGTAGTAGAAACTTCAGTGGTGACACGCTTTTTAAGTGACAAAGCAAGTTGCCCTTGGTTTTGGTTTCATAGTTAAGTATCTCCTTTGTTATGATAACATGACTTTAAAGCTTATCTGCAAGAGGAGTAAAAGGAAAAGACAAATTGGCAATAGCAATTCCAAGTTTAGGCTACACAGTGCCTTGGTGTTGTCTCCATCCTTTAACAAGTATATCTACTCCCTCTTCTTACCCCCGCTGAGATAAGGGAAAGGACATAACCTGCAAGCTCAGAGCTCTCTTGTTTTCATGTCTGATATGTTTTAGGTAGACTCTAGTTTTAATTGCTGTCAAGTGTCTCTTGGAAGAAGGCACTATGACTGCCATGTCCTCTGGATCCTTGTCAGCCAAACCTTTTCCTCTGCAGCAGCTTTCACCTGGGCCTCCATTTCTTCAGTACCGCTTTCTTTCTGCCCTCTATCTCATATGCTGTCTAGAAACTTTCTTATTTCCAGAGTTTCAGCTGAAGGCTTTGCAGGCAAGGGCTACTTCATACGTGAAATATTTTTGACTGACTGGATCTGGCAGCAGCGACACCATCGGTCCTTTGCTGTAGTTGTTTCTGAAGGAAGGGAGCAGGTTTTTCAGATTTGCAGTGGTGAAGTAGTCCTTCTTTATGTCAGAGCAGAGACAAGGAATAGATAATCCCAATTTATCTGGCAGTCAACTACGTTCAGGAGATGCTATGAATAGTCAGAAGTCCCCTGTTTGAAAATAGCCCAGTAAGTTGAGGTGGGTGAAATGAGTACCAAAATTATAGAAGATAAACGGCATGCAAAGAAGGGAGTAAGAGAGTACATGGTCTTCTCAGAACAGAATTAAGAAGTTGCAGAAATGCGAGAAGCCCATTCTTTGGGCACATAGGTTTTTGATAGTTTTAAGAAAAAGTGGTAAGAACTTTTAATGTGTCATCTGCCCCGTGAGGCTTCAAGACCAGGTGTATTAGTTTGGACTGAAACTCCTTTTAACTGGGTATTCAATCTCTAACCGATGACTGAGACTTACACCGCCTTATAACTCCTCAGAGTATCACCCGTGAACCAGAGACGGCATCTGTATTGAGTGGCCCTTAGCGTTTTATTTTTCTGTGAACTTGTCTGAAAAACATTGCGTCTGCATTATGGATAAATTTTGGTTCTCGGATCCAAATACCCACTTCATGTCGCTTTCAAAAATGTTGGTGTTACTTTCATTCCAGTTCTTCTGCAGTTGGCAAAACTGGGAACACAGGGACTTTGTCAATGTGAGAAACAGAATCTGATTCAAGATCTCAGCTGTGTGTTTTAGCCATCGTATCATTTCAGATGGCCTTTGTGCAACGTTAGTGTCTGCAACTTCCCATGAGATAGTTTCGCAGACTTTTTTTAATGCTTTTCAGCAGTTGTGTTTTCTAAATACATTTCCACAATCTTTGTTACTTTGCTTTCACAATCTTTGCTACTTTGCTTTCACAATCATTGCTACTTTTTAAAAGTAACTTTAATGTATCAAACATGTGCTATTAAATGTAATTAAAGTAATTTTAAGTCGTAATTGTTGAAAGCTTTTTAAAATTGCTAAATAATCCTGTAGCAGAACCTGTCTTTACAGAACAGGTGATCCTAACAATAGCTCTCACCCGTTCCTATTGTCTGTTAGTTTTTATCATGTACTAGATTTATCAGAATACATTCCATGGTAAAATCAAAGCATGACTATGAAGGAGTCGTACAGAAAAAAAAAATTATTTCACCTTTCTTGATTTCATGCCTAATTTTTACAACACTGATGAGTTATTCAAATTTGCATTTTGTATTTTTATTTTTGGAATGTGTCTTGTCTGAGCAGACAGACACTGAGCCAGAGACTAAAATATGAAGGTTGAACAGCAAGCAAGTTAGCAGTCCAAATGCAGCTTTCTGTTAGAGGTATCAGCAAAGACAAAGATAAATATGGTGAATGGATGGAATAAGATGAGGGAAAGTTCAAATAATAGCATGGAACAGTGGGTGTGATTAAAGATTATTAAAAATGCAAAGAAAAAAATTTGCAAAACTTGAAAAAAAAAACCCAAACCTGTCAGTTTATTTAAACTTGGGGAAAGAAGCACATAGTAAACCAAAATATTTTCTTTAATCATAGTCAGTCTCAGAAAGCGTGTTGTGTGTTCTTGTCTCCTTCTGAATATTCCTCTGGTTTTTTTTAGGTTTCTGTCTTCTACGTTGTACATCTGTGGGATCGCTCTGCTGCAACAAGATAATGTCTTCTTCAGCTCATTGAAGGAAAGGGGTGAGCAGCTTTCTCGCAGCCAGTATTTTGTCTCCTTTAGAAAGCAGTATGCCCTGGAAGCAAATATCATTATGTATTTTGATGAAAAATGAGGCCAGTTCTAGATGCTTTCATGTGTCAAACAGACTTGCTGTTTTGATTTTTGTTTCATTTTTTCTTTGTATGTGAATATAAGGATCTATGTTACAGAGCAAGTGCCAGGACTAAAGTTAAACAAGAATGACCAAATAGCCATGCTGACTCTGCCAATCCTCTGTTTCTTTCTGAAGGACTTCAAAGGAACGTGTATAGGGGAAAATTAGAAGGAACGATTACTTGTTAACGAGTGTGTTGGGTAGTTTCTTCACAACCCTAAGACAGTTAGCGGTTAGTTTATACCCTGAAGCATATAACTATTTATATCTGTTACAAACATCTGTTGTAGCTTGTATATGTTAAAAATGATATTACTGAACTCCAGCAGCTTGCTTGCACCTTATGTTAACATTACTGGGTGGTCCCTTTGCTCTTAATTATGAAGGAGTAAGTAGAGCAAGTGAGGAGTGATGTATGTTAAGTGATCACTTCGTGTACATGTTTCAGCTCACCTTTAATCTCTTCTCTTAGATACTCCTTAGCTTGCACAAAGTTTCCACGTTTCTAATTATTATTAGCCCTCTTAATTTTAACTTCCTTTCTTAGGAAGTTTCTTAGGAACTTATTTTTATTAAAGGCTTGCATTTTTTTCTTTTCGCTTTGTTTTGCAGAACACAATGCTTTTATGAATTCCCTTTCACCACATATGTCAATGGAGTTTTTGGTTGCAGTTCATGCATTGGCTTCCAGTTTACGTGACCTTAAACATTTCCTTGGGTTTTCATCACACTTTGTTTTCAAAAGAAACAGAATGAGAGTTAATTCTGTTCTGCATGAAGCAGACTGGCTGACTCTGTCAGCCTTGGGTTATTTTTGTTCCTTGTAACTCTTTGAACATAACACAAATGCACGGTTTTCCTTCTACTCACAATTTCTTCAGCAAAGAATAATTGGCATTTTTAAAGCTAAGTTGTCCAGAAGTCATATGTTCTTAGGCTCACTTCAGATACCTTAGGCCATATAGTCTTGGGTATAGCTGTGCTGGTTAAAGATGGTCCTGCTGTGAGTTGATAATCGCCACACATGAGCCAGAAATCACCACACTAATAGGTCAGCCAAGAGCAGGGGTTGTATGAGTGCACAGCAGCGTGCTTCAGACAAAGTCAGCTGGTTTACATCATAGCCACCTTTAACAGCGGGTTGAACTAGCCTAGCTGACTTTATGTAAAAAGGATCAGAAATCATTCACGTGTTCTGTGAGCTCAGCGGTAGAGCTGTGGAAGTAATTAGCTCTGGCAGGGTGGCAGTGATAAACATCTGGGAGCGATACCAGCTTCGTCTAGCATCGTTGTTTGCTGAATGAACATCTGCTTAGGCTGTGCATCTGCTAACTAGAACTGGATGCTGTATTCTAAATTAGGTTATAAAAGCCAAACGTGTAAATACCTTTTCAGTTATTTTTCTTAAAGTTTAAGATAGTTTGTTTCTTACCGCTACTGGGTAATGAGGAGATGTTTCTCTTTAGTGAACCAAAGTAATTTCTCAGTTAATTACCTCAATTTAAGTATGTGATTAGCTCAATTTGTTCATCTTGATTTGCAGTAGTTGTCTTCACTAAATCTCATCAGTTGCTATCTTGCTTAATAGCTTAATCTTCTTCTACTGTAATTATAAGTCAGAGGGGAAGCTCTTGCGGGAAATAAAGGATATACCCGTGTAGCATTCTTTCCAGCTGTTCCCTTGGGAGAGAATGGGGCAAAAGTCCTTCTTGATGAAATAGTGTATGGATCTAGCTCAAAGCTGTGCACCTCTTTCTTCCTTTGTGTGGCTTGAGGGATTTCCAGATGTGGAATGTCTCTTCCTTATGGAAATCTGGAAGGAAGCGTTGGTCCAGCTTGTTTGATTCTCCAGAAATTCTTGCCATATCCTGTTCGCCAGTTTACATGTGTTACCGTTGTTGCTTCCCTCTCCATCTTGTTCTTTGTGTCACTAATACGATCTCGCATCCTTGCTAACTCTGGGACATTCTTTTCTGCAACTGTTTTACCTCTTCTTTCCTCATTTCCGACTAAGAACTTCATCTTTCTCCCACAGCCAAACAATTTCTTTAACAGCTTTTTGTGAGGAACTTCTTCAGCTCCTAAACCAATCATTAAATAGTGTTTACTCCTTCTTTGTTGATCTGTTCAACGGTTGTACTTTTATTTTGAGGGTAGTCTGGTCTGTGCTTTGGATATCACAGTCAGAAATGAAATGTGTGTCTTTTGAGCAGGAAGAAAAGCAGCGTTTTGTATGTGTCCGTTCTCTGTATAAACACAGGATGACACTAAGCTACCATTTTAGAAAGAAAATAAATGTTTAAACATAAGGCAAATGTTTACAGGGCTGATGTTGTAGAACCTGTCCCCTCAAAGTATTTTGAAAGATATCTCACTTTGCTATTATGGCAAATGCTGATTTAACTTTAACTTTAAATGATTCATAACTATGAAAAAAATAAAATCTGAAGTACTTCTATCAGCGAGTACATTTATGTCATTCCCTTTTTTTTTGGTGGAGAAGTCGGCAAAATTTTTGGAGTTTCAAAGAAAGAGATACTGATGTTCTATAAAGACACATACACAAACTAGAACCAGAAAATACTTTCATTAAAGCTATTAGAAAAACTCTAACCACAATCTTTACTCTTTTCCTCTGTAAATTGTATTCTTAAAAAACCCCATACTTTAGCATAGGAGTTCCCAAACTGTAGCATACCTTTAGCTAGTGTTCCACAAGCTACTTGAGATGATATGTGCATGTGGTCTACAGATAGAAACTTACTCAGCTCTGCAAGCACATGACCCAGTGCCAGAACCAAGATCTGCTCTGTCTGCTCCTGCTTGTGGTTCCTGACATGCTTTTGTGAGCCTGAAATGGCACAGATTCCCAAAGAATAACAGCTCCATTTAAGCATGACTGAGTGAAGGTAACCTAGTGCGTAAAGTCAGTCATGCATACGTCATCCTGGTGAGCTTCTCTTAAAGCAGGGGTTTTTTTTAAAATAAAAATAAGAAATTGCAGTCATGCTTAGGAGTTGCACTTTGAGTAGAACTTGATGTAAAGTCTTGAGGTTTGTCTCTGTGCCTGAAACTATTAAGTAAACAAGGAAGGGAATCTTGAAATTTGTCCTGTGTTTCCTAAATGAAACATTTACTTGAGGCTCTTATAATCTGTAGGGGAAAATATCCAGAAGTGTAAAAATTGCTCTTCAGAATCGTCATATACTGTAGCAGTATGCGATAGTGAAGGAAAGATTTAAAAATAGTTGAAAAATTTTTAGTGATTGGACACATTACAAAGAAAAAAGGTTTTGTTTCAGATCTTAAACTGGTGAAAATTCTAAAACTTTGTTCTTTGATACTGACATAAGTGGAAGAGAACAGAAAACCTGGAATTAATACCTGAATATAATCTTTTTCAAGACATGAGCTCTGTCTTTTTTAATATAAATTTTTTTTTTAATAGTAGTTAAACATTAGGACTCCTACATGTCAAGGAAAACTGAGTTCTATGTTAGTATTTAATGGTAATAGCTTAATGAATTATGTCATTTCAGTTGTAATGACTGCTAATGTGACAAGGAAATAAAATGTAAATTAGTAATTTGATGGATAAACTGTAACTGGTGAAGGTGCTATGCTAAATTTTTTTTTTTTTTTTTGTAATGAGTGGATGTCTAACTTTAAAAAAAAGTTTAACTCATCTGGGCACCAAACTCCAGCTAATGCTTAGAGGGAATAACATACTTGAATTTACTTGTGTTATAAATCCTATTAAAATTAATATTTCTCAAAGTATCAACTGTCTATGAAAATGAGACTTCTCAATTCCTGGGTCACTTTTGAAACTATATAGTCACATAGGCCCAGTTGTTGTTAAATATTGTTGCATTCTTTATTGAGCCTTAAATGACTTGGATGGTAGATTCCTGATGGCAGAAGTGATTTGAGACTTCAGTTTCTAAAAGTAATTTCAGGCCCTTACTTTGGAATATGAGATTCATACTCATAAGTAAATAGGGTATTCCTTAACACTTTTTACATTTGATTCATTGGTTGTAGGCTATTATTATTTCAGTTACAGTAATGCTCAATGTGTTGTAAGCCTTTTCAAAACACAGAAATGTAAATCTTCGCTCATTTCTACATTTTATGTGTTCCCTTACAATAAGTTAGTTAAGTAATGTGAAAATAAACGCTAACATTTACTTGAAGTTTGTGAATGTCAAAGAACCTCAGCCTCTTATTACAAATCTTATGTTAAATATAAAATGATACAATGGACTTTTTGCTGATGAAACCTGTTGATTTTCCAACTTTTTTGACTTGTAACTATGCATGTAACTATCATTGTCAATAAACTTAATGATTTTTTGGGGAGAGGTGTGCATAAATCTATCTTTTTTTCATCTTTTAGAACTAGATTCTAAGTGGTCACTTTTGTAACTGACTTTTTTTTTTTTAAAGAATATTTGTTCATACTTATGATGATTTGACGTAATTAACATTTTATTAACCATGATGGCAACACAGACATTAAGTATAGACAACTATCAAGATGGACAACAGGTAGGTGTGTTTTTCTCTTTCTGAATTAAATAAAGTTAGCAAGAGAAAAAAGGTAGTGACTTTTTCCTTAATGCCTGCTTTGGCGTTGTTTAAGTGTCTGTTCTTATTTGTAAAACAAGATCTTTAAAATGATAAGCTGCTGTTCTTTAATACTTGGATGCTTATTAAAGGTTTAGCTAAACTTTGCATGACTTTGCTTAACTTCTGGAAGAATGGTTAGATAAGGGGTTTTCTTTTGAATCTGCTGTAGGTGATTTGTGTGCTGTAATGTTCCTATTTTTAGGAAAGTGAAGTGGGCATCCGTAACTTTTTGTGTATATGATACTTCAGTGTTCTTATGTGTCTGCAGTTACAATAGATAGATGACGTTTATGCAGTCATAGACTTGGTGGTCTTGAGCAAGTGAAGGATAAATTCGATGACCTAGAATTATATGCTACTTTGACTACATTTAAGGTGATGCAATTATGCTGCAGGCTGAAAACTGGTAAAATACTTTAATTGATTTTAATAAGGTTATTGGTTAGAATTGCTGATTAGAAAGCTGGTCAGTAGGCTTCCAGTTTCTTATTACTGTTAACAAGCAGCTAGAATAATGAAACCTACTCGGATATATCTGGTCATTATGTATCTTTTTTATACAACAGGCTGTATATTGCAACAATTTGAGTTGTTAAATTAAAATACTCTTAACTGGAGACAAGTCATGTGGTGGCCTGTGCTCTGAAGACCCATTTTTACGTTATTATGTCAACCCTAAGCAGTAAACACAAGTACTTCTGTCAGCAGATGGCAACAGTGGCGAACAGTCAGAAGAAAAACAGCAACTTTTCCCATCTCATATAAAAAGATGTTTATCTGAATGCAATCTGGAATTATTGATTGTTGTTGTTGTTGTTTGCTTCTTTTATTGCAATTCTAGTTTCTCTCTCTCCTCTCACCTACCTTGCATCTTTTACTTTATTGCCCCAGCAAATACATGCCATCCCGTGACACGTCAGTGAAAGTAATAGATGTTTTTGTAAAGAACGGATTGGGAGGGAGCATTTTCTTTCCATTTGTTTTGTATTTTAAGGTCTTGGTGACCAAGATAGACAGGTAATTTGGGTGCCTGCAGCTTTTGTAGTTTGGAAATGGCCCACAGAAAATAGCTTGCAGTTTTAAGTGAGCTATTTCCTCCTTCTAGTGAGATAGAGCCCTAACTGAACATGCTCTCTCCTTTCAAACCCTGCAGATGTATGGCTCAACTTTTTTAATCACTTGTATGAGTCATCTGCTTTTATTTTGCTCCTCCTTCTTGTCATTAGCCAAGAAATGAGTCCATTAGTTGTATCTTTTATGCAAGCATTCTGGCTTGAAGATCATCTATGCTTGCTGAAGAAGCTTTTTGCAAGGCAGACTGCTCTGTTGGATAGGGTATGTTGGCATTTTCTCAGTGTCTGGTTTTGCTAGGAGATCGCTTGGCCCCGACAGGTAATAAAGCAGAAACCTTTCGGTTCTCCCAGTCGTCTTGTTCGGGATAGTATAAATTATTTTGCTTCTGTTGTGTGGAAGTAAATTAAAATCTGTTGGGATTAGGTTCTCTAATAGTTTCTGGAGGCCAGCTCTCCTCTGGGAGTGTTCCTGTGGGTGCTGGTACGTACATCTCGCAGGAAAAGAAGGGAGAGGATTGCATTCTGTACGCTTCCTTTCTGCAGGTGTCGGTTCTGGCTGCCTGGTGATACCTAGGACAGTGTTTGTCCTCTACCCGAGATAAAACTTGTTAGGGTTAAAGTTGAAAAAAAAGATTCCGGTGATTTCTTGTCTTTGTACAGATATTCCCGGTGCTCCAAGGGGAGAAAACCAAGGAGTTTGGGTTGCAGGGTGGAAACTATGAGTTTCACAGGTCAGGTTCTTTTCAAACCTTTTAGTCTGATAGGTATTTAGCTGGAGGTGGTGGGATCACCACTTTGGACACCTTCAAAGCACCTCAAAGGCATTACCGGTCACCTAGTACAATTTAGGAGGTGCTCAGTAGAAGCTGTGGCTCTGTTGTTTTTCCGGTGGTGACAGATTGTGTAACTGTCTGTTAAATGGATTTGTAGAAGCAGTTACTCCTGTTTTCTCCAGTAGCTTGATATTCCAAAAGTAATTGGTTATTACAATATGTACATCTGAGTGGTAAAGGTCAGGGGAGGTTGTGCTCCTGGTAATTGAAAGGTTGGAGGGACGTAGAATGTAAGAAAATGTGCACGTTAATAGACAAGAAAAACTTCAGGATCTCTTTTCTTCGGTAACCTGATACAATGTACAGTAAAAAATAAGAAAGAAAACTTAAGAGTAGAAACTTCCCTTTCTGTTGTTTTCATCCTGAAGGATTTTTGTGCAGACAACCCCATAAATTTTTTTGGAGCAATGTCCTGTAGCCTGTTCAAAAAATAGCCACTTCAGAGACAAATGCTTTAACAAATTACTAATATCTGTCATTCCCATTTTAAAGCAGAGTGCTGAAACTTGAAGTGACCTTTACACTACCCATCAGAAAGTGTCAAGGATTAAAAAAGGAGTTTTGTTACTGCTGTGGCTTTTTGTGTTGCTGCCAAGTCACACCAACCTTCTGGCAATTTAGTAGCCCTTTGCATTGCTATTTCCTTAGAAAACAGAACACTTATTTTACGTCAAGCGTGCAGATTTACTTAAAACTTACTCTTTTTCTACAGATGCAAGTAGTAACAGAGTTAAAAACCGAACAAGATCCCAACTGCTCTGAAACTGATGCAGAAGGGGTGAGTCCTGCCCCTGTAGAATCTCAGACTCCAATGGATGCAGACAAGCAAGCCATTTACAGGTAGTAATGGACTCGTGTTCTGTCTTTTGAATGGTAAAGAATAGAGGAATTTTTAAATTTTTTTTTAAATTAATAGTATGTACCTTGAAATCAGATGATCTCTTGGCTGTCTCAGTAGTTTGCAGGGAAAGAATGAGATCAAATTAGCTTTGCTGTCAGTCTTCAGCCAAGAAAAAAATTTCCCTTTATTGTGGGATTCTTCCATTTCAGCGTGGTTTTAAAGGATGTTCTGAGGGTGACTGCCTTTAAAGCACAAGTGAAATTTAGCAAGCTACTCTGGTCATTATTTGTTATACTGTAGTTTTTATCTTTGATGTGAGATTTTATTTTTATTCTAATTAGGTCAAGATTTACTCCCTTTTCTTTAGGGATAACACTCTATTGACCAGTGATTAGCTCAAACTGGATTAAATGTTGTTGTATAAACACACTAACTTGAGATTTTTCAGTGTTAAGTGCTGTGCTAAGCCGTATGCTCAGTTTTGATGAGGTTAAGCGTTCTTTCAATTTAAGTGCTTTGTAAAGACATAATTATTACCAGTTTGCAGGTAAAAAAAATACAAACCAAAAACCTGAAGCAGAAAGGTGTATCCACTCATTTACAGACTTGTGCTAACAAAATCGTCTTCTGCTCTGAGCATGATTTCATAGGAGGCCTCCGTGTACAGCCTGGATACTATTCTCGGTTCTGTAAAGTTACTTGTGATGCATAAAGAAGGCCCACATTGAAGAACAAATGAATTTTATCAGACTTTATTTCATAATTTAAACTGCATTCATTCTATTTGTAAATCCTAATCCTCATTTCTGTTTTATCATATATCATACTGTATTGATGTATCTTGTCACTCAATTACAGTGAATTAAATAGTATGTCATAGCTTTTTAGCTTGTGATTGTTCTTTTTAAATATACATATTTACTGCTTTACTTGCCTCTAGAGTGTGTGGTAAATCAAAATAAATAAAAAAACCCCCACAAACAAACTTTCATCATATTTTGCTATAGCCAGTGGTGTTATATGCAGTCTCTTCCAAGACTCGTCTTTCTGTTTCTTATATGAGTGACTGTTACCTTATGTGAACTAAATGTCTTACTTTTCAGCGGTGTACACATAAGTGAAAATACTTATGCATACATTTTAACTTTTATTCTAGGCACCCACTATTTCCCTTGTTAGCACTATTATTTGAAAAATGTGAACAATCTACACAAGGCTCAGAAGGCACAACTTCTGCTAGTTTTGATGTAGATATTGAAAATTTTGTAAGGAAGCAGGAGAAAGAAGGAAAACCCTTTTTCTGTGAAGATCCAGAAACTGATAATTTGGTAAGTATAAACTGTTTCTTTTATTTCTGAAACAATCATCACGTTTGCCTCTTCTTCTTAATTTCTGATCTCAACTGGTGCTTATAGTTTCTCCTCACGTTTTTCTTCCTAGAAGGAGATTCTTCTTTTTGTTAATGCTGAGAAACATTTTTTTAAAAAATTTCTTCTGACCCCTTTTTTCCCTCTTATCTGTAAACTTACACTGGGACCTTCACAGTCGTTTCCCATTCTAAACTGGCTGAGATCAGTGTATTAGAGACGAACAGAAACATGTGCTTGCCGTAGCCAGGTTGACTCTGGAAATCAATTTTAGAGTGTCGAGTGTATAACATATATTTATCAAAAACATGTAATCGATGTAAATTTTTTCCAACTGTTTTGTTGTTTGTTGTTTTTTTTTTTTTATCAGGGTTTGTGTAGTTTATGTGGGAGAAGAGCTGTTATAAGATGAGCTTAGAAACTTTAACATATCCACATTTTTTCTTATGTGTCATTGTCTCCTTTAGGCTTTCTGAAAGTCCTTGCTGTGATGGAGCTGTGATTTCCCCAGTCCCTTAGTCTCCCTCTTGAATCACATCTCTAGAGAACACCTCTCTTGACATGCTGGTTTCTAAACTGTACTGCCTAGTTAGTCTCTTTAGAGTCATCTTGCAACTAGATTTTCAAGAGTGTTAGAATTATAGAGGTCAGATGTTTTGTTTCATTTTTGAAAACCTTTTCCTTTAAGGGGACTATGTAATAAAACAAGTCTTCATCCTTGAGTCTGCCTTGTAGGAGAAAAGACTACTTAAAATATGGAAGTTCACAAACAAAACTAAATGGATGGGAGGTTGTAAACAACAGAAATGGTAATGTTTTAAAGCTGATATCTAGACAGATTTATGTGGGCAAATAATATCCTGTGTGGGAGGCTAAGGTAATGTACCTGGAGAAAACTGTTAAGCAAAACCAAAACTTAAACAAGAAATAAATCTGAGATGCTGTTTAGAATTGGCAGGAGTGTTGCAGTGAACAGCATGTTAGGAGGGGAACATACTGTAGCAAAAAGGGGGTCAATTTGGGATGCTTTTGCAAGCAGCCTAAATAGTCATTTTGGATAACTTGATTTCTTTCCAAGCACTTTGTGACCAATTGTTAGCATACTTAAGTTCTGGGAAGATAGTATTTAAATAGCGTCATGGACAGTAAAGCTACAGGAGTTTCTATGTATAATTAGACCGGTGTGAGAGTAAAGGAGGCAGAAGACCGTATGTTCTAGAGTGAGGCAAGCTTTTACAGCTCTAGCTAGAGACATAGAAAGTTGCCTTCTCAGTGACTTGTTATAACCTTTTAACTGTAGGTTACAATGCCCAGGATTGAAATATCTTGATACATTGCATCCGTGATTGTAGTCCATGTAAATAAAAGTCACCTTAGATCAAATCTTCTTCAAGGATAGCTCAAGTTAACACAATTCACTTTGCAGTAATCTACCTGCAAGAGTACTTTCAAAAAGTTCTCTTACAGCTTCAGCTGTGGAGCTGTTTGTCTTACAGAAGCTTTTATTTTCAGTTTGGAAACATTTTGAGGCTCAAATAAGGCTTTTGTGTTAAAAGGTGACCCAAAATGGTGCCCTTCAGAATGATGGAAAAGCAGCTAAAGAAGGATGCATAATAACATAATGATGGTCTCAGTATTAGTGTAAAGATTCTCAGTTTATAAATGAAGAACTGAAGAGCAGGCATTGTGCACTGTGACCAAAGTTGCAACTAGAACAAAATTGAACCCCCAAAATCTCAGTTTAATGTCTTAATCATTAGATCTCTGTGGGCAAATTTTGATGCAGCTCACCTGAGAAAAAATTATTGATACAGACGGTAACTTAGTTTTCTAAGTAGAAAGAAGCATTGACATACCTACTGAAACAGTTCCATGAATAAACCCTGTAGCAGAATGACTGTCACTGTATGAATTAAAAATAGGATATTAAAGAAGAAAAATAAAGGCAAGGGGAAATAAAATATGAAGAGAGGCTCAGCGAGCTGGGACTGTTTAGCCTGCAGCAGTAAGGTCTGGAGGGATGTTATCAATGTATCTAATGGGGGAATAAAGAAGAGGGACTCTGACTGTTCTCAGCAGTGCCCAGTGAAAGGGCAAGAGGAAATGGACATAAATTGAAACACAAGATGTTCCATTAAAACATAAGAAAAAGCATTTTTACTGTAAGGGTAATTGAATACTGGAGCGGGTTACCCAGAGAGGTTGTGGAGTCTCCACCCTTGGAGACAGTCAAAACCCAACTGGATATGGGCCTGAGCAACCTGCCCTAGTTGACCTTGCTTTGAGCAGGGGGGTGGATTAAACAATCTCCAGGGTCCCTTCCAACCTCAACTATTCTGTGGATTCTGTGAGCCTTCAAAGATCAGTTTCCCAAAGATCCTACATGCCTTGGCCTGCTTGGCATGTTTTTGGTTGTACACAAACGTTCTCTCAGATCTAGCTTACTTTGGTTGTAGATGTGATCAAATAGTCCTTCCTGCCAATTACTGTCACTGTATGAATTAAAAATAGGATATTAAAGAAGAAAAATAAAGGCAAGGGGAAATAAAATATGAAGAGAGGCTCAGCGAGCTGGGACTGTTTAGCCTGCAGCAGTAAGGTCTGGAGGGATGTTATCAATGTATCTAATGGGGGAATAAAGAAGAGGGACTCTGACTGTTCTCAGCAGTGCCCAGTGAAAGGGCAAGAGGAAATGGACATAAATTGAAACACAAGATGTTCCATTAAAACATAAGAAAAAGCATTTTTACTGTAAGGGTAATTGAATACTGGAGCGGGTTACCCAGAGAGGTTGTGGAGTCTCCACCCTTGGAGACAGTCAAAACCCAACTGGATATGGGCCTGAGCAACCTGCCCTAGTTGACCTTGCTTTGAGCAGGGGGGTGGATTAAACAATCTCCAGGGTCCCTTCCAACCTCAACTATTCTGTGGATTCTGTGAGCCTTCAAAGATCAGTTTCCCAAAGATCCTACATGCCTTGGCCTGCTTGGCATGTTTTTGGTTGTACACAAACGTTCTCTCAGATCTAGCTTACTTTGGTTGTAGATGTGATCAAATAGTCCTTCCTGCCAATTGACCTGTTTGCGATTGTAGTGACGACAAAGTCTCTTGGTTTATGTGGTATTCACCTTTGTTGATGTGCTGCACAGATGTGGCTGATTCTGCTTGAGCTGGATGAGGAAGTATTTGGTTATGTCTTGTATTCCATGGCTGATGAGGTCAGTACTATCTTAAACTGGAACCGTGTTGCAAAATCAAAAATCTTTGGCATTGAACTCCTGTTCTGTAGTCATACTGTTAGCCGTTACTTTCTATTACTAGATACCAAATGAAATCCGAGTGCAACTTGTCCGGTGCCAGTCCTGAAGGCTGGGGACTCTGAACAGCTGACGCTGTGACAGGCTGTTCATTTTGTCGGGGGCAATGAACAGAAGAGCAAAAGAGTTTCTGTCAAGTTGTGAAACAGCTAATGCGGTTTTCAGTCTCTTCTTCGGCCTGAAATATTGGTGCTTGCACACAGAAGGCTGTAGCTGGGCGATTTTTCTGCCTTGTGTCACATAAATACATACATTTTTATATAGATTAAAAATCTCTTTTTACTAGAGAGGGAGTCTCATATTGTGCGCCTTTGTTATGTCTTCTATTCTTGCTCTTTTTTTTTAACTTTTTTAAACTTTTTTTTTTAACTCCCTCTTTTTTTTTTTAACTCCAATGTTAAATCAATCATTCATATGAAAGGAGAAGCTAGTGAAGACTGCTAATTAGAACAAACCAGAAGGGTGGGCCAGGTAGCCCAGACAATGACTTGCTTTCCACTTGTGCTTTTATCTGACCCCGGCAGAGTCAAACAAATAAAGTGTAAATGCTTGTGCAGTAGCAATCGTTCCGATTGGAGCCAGAGCTAAACTGAGATGAACTGAACATTGTAGTACTACAAAGAGCCAAATTCAAGTGCTATCCGAAGAGAGTCCCAGGCCTGCCTGCAGTAAGGAAGCTGGCCGTTGTTTCAGGTTTTTTTTCCTTTTACTTCTTTTGGAAATAGCATGTAGAACTCAACTACACTGCAATTTTTGTGACAGATCTTAAACTAGTGGCTCCAGAACAGCAGGATATCATTTCAGACTCCGTACTGCCTATAGGCTAATTGACAGAAATTGTGAAGAATGACAGGTACTGGTTGCAGGGCCTCTTACAACCCTGGCAATGTTTCACATCGTGCACTCACTTGAAATGCCTTGAATATTCCAAAGAAAAAGTTTGGTTTTCATCCAGAGGACCAGGGAATGGTAATCTGGACCGCACAGGCATTAGATCAGTTTGACCAGAAAGAATGACCAGAAAATGAACCAATGAACCGTCTTCTGTTTGTTCTCCATTAATACCCTTTTGCGCGTAGGACTTACACAGGCGGGTTCCTCCATGTCTTCGAAGTTGTTCAGCATAAGTGTTTGCAGATAACTTCACAGATGACGTTATGTCTTAAGACATTCAGTACTTAACACTTCTTTGTTGCTTACTGTTAACCCAGCCACTGCAGAAACGTCATGGTGCCTCAGGTTGGTTCCTACCTCTTGTATAGCTACTGTTCAGAGTAAAGTCTTCCCATATATGGGTGGCTTTTTTAATTTCCCCACGTTCACAGGACCATAGGTTGGATTACGAGCTCAAGAGGTCTATAGTCTAACCTCCTGCACAAAGTAGGGTCAGCTGTGGAGTCAGAGCAGGTTAGTTATGGCTTTATCAAGCCTCGAAATAATACAAAACATGGGGTGTTAAATATACTCTCACTTTTGTATTTGAACAGGACACTGCCTTTTTTGAAGACCCCCGAGTTTTTTGTTTCATTTGGGGTAAGGATTTTTGGTTCAGTACCCTCTTCTCAAGACTATCCTATTGAATTTTTAGTTGTAGTAGGAGAAGTTGTAGTGGGGGTGAAGCCAGCTGTTGTCATTTGAATATTCTTGAGTGATCAAACCACACATTTGCATTTCGGCAGAGCGTTCTTACTATTGTAATGTGGAGAACTGTCTCATAAACCTCTGGTCATACCTTTACTAGCTGTGTCTCGTAGCTGGGGACACAAAATAGGGGAGAGAGGCTATCAAATTGAACCAAATGAAAACAAAATGCCCCCTCTCCCAAAGTTTGTGGTTTTCTTCCCCTGAAGACCTAAATTGCCCCAGAAGGATTTGCTCAGGAAGGTAGGTAAGCTGTGAATGTATGTATTTTAATTGTTTTTTTTGCAAGTGAGAGGGGTAATTTGAGTGAGAAGATTACTTGTCAATATATGGAGATTCTTTCTTATATGTTGTCCACGTATGTATTTGCTTATATGCTTATATGATGTGCCCTGAAATACATAAAAAAATGTAGGTGTGTGTTTTAGATAAACAAAGGTGAACTGGGGATTATGACGAAGGTAGTGCATAGTGTGTTCTGTGCCCTTTGCACCACGAGCTTGAGGCACTGAAAGACAGGATGCAGGCACAATCTAAAGCATTTTTAGGGCTAAAGATGTCCCCAGATTTAATTTATGATATATTTATATGTGAATATGTTCTGGATAGAAGTTTTAGCAAGAACTGGAAGTTTTTCAGTAATTGTTTTCTGCTTGATAGTTTACCATTATCCTTATTTATAACAGTTTCAAGAATATACATATATCTCATGGTTACTTCTGTCTGTGCATTTCTTTGAAATGATGCTCCAGGTTTATTTCTACAGCTGGAAAGGCTGAATCAAGTGGGTTATAAAAATTCATTGTTCTGTGGCATATTCTACTCAGTAGCACTAAATAACAAAAACATGGTTGTTACAGATTTTTAAGGTATGCCTTTTAAGAACATAGGGATGAAATATTACTTCTGCTGTGATCTGTCTGGAAACATTCCTTTGTATTACCTTTATTCAGCATGGGTGATTTTATCAGTTCTTGAGGGGTTTTTTGGTTTGTGGTTTTGGGTTTTGGGTTTTTTTTTTAGTTTCAAGGAAAAAGTGAACTTCTGCCAACAAATTTAAGTTTGGTCCACCCGTGCTGTAAGAGACCAGGAGCCGTATGGCCACAATTAGTGTAGCTGTAAATGAGTAAATAAGTCCTGGCGAAAGGCATGGCATATTTATAAAGTTTTGTTTGCCTTCCTAACCACAGTAGCACAGCTTCCTGTAAGAGTAGTGTGACTATGTGTGGCTCTGCAGAAACCTGGATAGTGTTACTCATTCTTGGTTTATGGTTGATTTTGACTTTAATTCAATTTTCACTTCAAGTATCAACCATCAATTTGAAACTAAATCTAAGCTGAAGAAAGGACTTTTATTTTTCCTCCAAACAAATGCTGATAAATAAATAATATTAGGTAATGATTTTAAAAAAAAAGTCCTCCTGACTGAGCAAAACTAGTCACTAATACAGTCAAGTATTATGTGCCCAAAGGCATATTTTTGTTACTTCAGTTTTAGCCAAATGTTTAAGGCATTCACTAATATATGTGCTCTGTGATGGTCTGCCACACATGAAGAATTTAATAATTTAAGCTTTTTTTGTCTCTGAAACTCTTTGGCTATTGCAGTATTACAGAACAATCGTTAATAATTCTGAAAGGAGCAGGATATCTTTAAACATAGGTGACCTTTGTTCTGTGTTAAAATCTAGTTAAATTTACATAGTTTAACTTGCTTGTGTTTAAAGGTACTTAAATACGGTTTAAACAGGAACCACTGCTGCAGGCTGTTTTAGAAGATGTCCATTTTATATACCTCAGCGCTGGGCCATTGTACTAATTTCAAAGGCTTTTGGTGTCATAGGTTGTAAGAGTTACCAGGTTTTCATTTGGATCAACTGTCTCAAGTCTACAGCTCAGATTTTTCTGCAGCTGTGCTTGTAAAGATGTATGTGACTTTTTTTTTCTTTTTAGCCCTGAGAAGGGGTAAGATTTCCTTTTTTGCTATCGCTTCAGGTTTTTTTCCTCTTATTTATTTTAACATAAAATTTTCTACACTGGGTGAGTGTCATCCAGCTGGAATACCTTCTACAGAAAAAACAGGGAAAAGAGCTGTCATAATGAAAGCTGAAGTCATCATGGTGGAGAGGAGAGTACACACAGGAGTTTGCCTGCCTCGATCTCCTTCAGGTGGTTTGAACAAAGGCAGCTTCAGCTCCCAGTTGACTGCTTTAGTTAGAAGTAGTTAGTGGATTACTTAGTAAGCTAACACTTCTGCTTGTTGCATTCAGTGCTCTGGCCAGGTAAATGACCCTTCATATAGGACAAATTTTTCCAAATAATGCTAAAATCAAGCTCTGCACTATGTTTCAAAATTATCCTTCATTTTTATGAAACTGAATAGATTATATTTTTCTTGGAGATCTGGCATAGCAAGTAAATGTTGAGGATGGCATACTATATAAAAAATAAAGTAATTGCTTTGCCAGTGTGTTATGTACATATTTGAATGTCTTGGATTTCCTACTGCTTCATGAAAATTTAGACCATCTGGATTTGGTTTTAGCTTTTGATCTTCTGTCATGACCCTTACCGTCACCTAAGCTATTTTTGTGCAGTATGTAATACCATTAGCTATCCAAGCTTACAAGTCTTTTTCTCGCAGTAAGCACGATAAGTATTCTCATCACGTACGTATCTCCTGAACTTCAATTTTTCTTTAAACATGGATTTGTTATTGAGTTTAGTGCTTTGTATTTAATGGTTTATACTTCAGAAACAGTCTCCTGACCTGAAAGTTCTTACAGGATTTTACCCCAGAGTTGTTAATCTTTGACATACAATTGCAGGGGAACTTCAAAGCTATAGGACTGAAGAACTGTTACTTCAGTAACTGAATTACTTCAAGCTTTGTTGAACAACGTTGACAAACTTTGGGACCTCTTTATTCTAATTTTATAGAAAAATAAAAGCTATTGTGTTTTTGTTACAGGTGAGACAGCAGGCCTGTACCTTTCACCCTCCCTAGCAATCTATGTGACCAGTTTATGCTAAGGCACAGAAGGGTCATCTTAGTGTATCTCAAATTCGTCTGTGTACTTCTCTTGGGTCAGGATGTAATGTGGAACCAAACCTGATATTTCTGATACATAGCTCAAGACGACTATTGCTTACCAAGCCTGTTCCAGCCATGATTTCCAAATAATACGTCTGGATGGGATTATTTCCTTCACTTTCTGGTCTTGTGTTGTGTAAGACCCGGAGTTGTATCATGGGGATAAAGACCATATGGACATGCAGGCTCATTCTGTGCTCCATGTACACCTTAACTATGCTTTGTCTTCCTAATATGTCACATGTGACAGAGACAAAGATTATATTGTTGTCATGTTTTGTTTCCCCTGTGTGGTAGTTTACTTATGCAGTGGAAGGATGCAGGATTTGTGTGTAAACACGTTCCTTTCACGTTTCAGGAGCATAATGGTCAGCACTACAGAACTCTAGTCAGCACTTAGCAATTAGTAACTCTGCTTTAATTCGATGGTCTTAGTTACTGGAAAGTAGCGTTTGCTTAAATCTCACATTAAATATTTTTTTTAATTAACAATTATTTTGTTTCTAAATTTTTTTTCCAATTCTCTCCCTAGATGGTAAAAGCAATCCAAGTTCTACGTATCCATCTGCTTGAGCTAGAAAAGGTTAATGAACTCTGCAAGGATTTCTGTAGTCGTTACATTGCCTGCCTGAAGACAAAAATGAACAGTGAAACTCTATTAAGTGGAGAGCCTGGAAGTCCTTACTCACCTGTGCAATCTCAGGTATGTTTCAAATACAGTTAAGTGTATTTTTGCTTAGATTTCCATAGGAAGTTATAACTACACTTCTCTTGCTATTAGTTTGCAAACAGAGTTTCTGCAGTTTCTTTCATTTTCTCAAAATTGGTTATTAAGAGTAGAAAGAGCTGTATGGTGTGGGGGTTTTGTGCACACCTGTGTGCCACTGCCTGATGGAGAAACTTGTTGAAATGTGTCAGAACATAGAGTCACTCTTTTTTTGTCTGTCTTCCTTTTATGATTTTCCTTCAGTTCAGCAAATGGAGATATTCAGAATAGCCTGGATTTGCTATTTTGTTGGAAGGAGGCTAGGAAACAGAATAAACAAAGGAGAAGAAAAAAAATTTATTGTTAAGAAGGTCTCCTTAGTCTAGTCTGCTTCATTAAAATACTGAGATGGCTGATACATTTTATACACAACCTATATGCTGGAACAAATAGACAATACCTGATGGATTACAGTTGCAATATTTGAGATGTATGTCATTGCATGTCACCTGGGGTAACTGTCTAGTTATAAACAGTACCCATTTCTATATATGTGAACCTCCGTTGTTGACATTACCTAAAGGCAGTAACAAGTTACGTTTTTTTTGTAGTGACTTGACAACAGTTAATTAACAACGGTTAGTATATTATGGTCAATGCTTCAGCTGTTAGATGCTGGAAAGTGAGCCCTGCCATCTGAGTACCTGCTAGATGTCTAGTCTTGGGGGATGATCCTTCTCTGACTTAATAATGCATTTGATGCTGTGTATTCTGAAAAGCCTCAATGGCTTTTAAACTTCACTGTCTGGACTCCTTACTTAAGTTTTGGTGTCTGGAAGTGTGGAAAGAGAAGTCTAAAATCAGATAAAAACAACTTTAAAAAGATGGGGTTTTGTATGTCTTTTACAGTCTCCTGTAGAGACAGGGGGGACTGAATTTTGCATTTGGTAACAATAGAGATTATTCATACATATTAAGGAATGTGTAAGAGTTTGCATGGTCAGGGTTGAGTAAGAACTATCCTAAGCAGAATAAAACATATTGAGCATCTTGAATACTTAATTCCTTCAATTTCAAAATAATGTATTAAGATAATAACTAAAACTCTAAAGCTTTGATGCTTGTAATAAGAGCATCAAGGGTCCATTTCATCTGTCCTTTTTCCTTTGTCCCTTCGGAAACTGTTTCTCTTAGTATTTATATACCTGGAATCATTTCTCTCCTAAAATTTCTCAAGATAGTTTTACATCTTTTCTAACAGTTACTTTCATGAGGGTTTTCAAAGGTAATGATTGGTGATAATGAGAAAGTTAATGTAGGTAATGATGAACCTTTAATGAAGTCTCCTTCTCTTTGAAGTTAGTCCTGTGATTAGACTCCAAATGTATTTTTAAGAGCCAAAATTACACAAGCATGCTTTATGTCCTTAAAAAAAAAAAGCAACCTTAAACAAAAATGCAAGCAACTAATTGTTTTATTTTTCTAGCAAATTCCAAGTGCCATTGCAGGCACACTCAGTCCCCAAGGGATTATGGTGCCAGCATCAGCATTGCAGCAGGGAAATGTAACTATGGCAACAGTAGCAGGTATGACACGCTAAAGAAAAACTGGCACCTTACTCTTAATTTTTGTTTCTTTTATAGTTGTTACAAAAAATACACAAATACATTTAAAAATGTGTTTTAACTCTAATACCTGAAAAGTTGTTATAATACAGTCAAGTGCCTTTCTGGTTTCTGAATGTTCATTTAATTTATATGTGTACCAAGTATGCACATGTGAGTGGAGGTTAAATATTTATAATGCTAAGAGATCTTTCTGTGCAGCACTACTTTTGTTAAAAGACTTTCACAGACTGGAGTGTTTTACTCTTTTTTTTTTTTTTTTTTTTTTTTTCCTTCAAAAAAAAAAGGATTCTGTTTGACAAAAACATCCATTACCTAAAATATTGCATTTGCTGGCTGTCTCATGCTCTATGGCATTTGGAACCATGCCTGCAAGTCTGTGAAATCCTCGATGTCCAAGTTTTTCTACTGCTGCATGGAGATGTCACTTGAACTGAAAAGTTTTATCTTGCTTCTAAGCAAAGTTCTAAAACAAACAAACAGAAAAAACCCTTGACTACAAATGCAACAAAGCAATGCAGCGTGCTTCTAGAGGGTATACTTGCAGGGAGGTTATCCTGAGACACAATATGTGCTTTGTGGCTTTGGTGCCCAGGACCCCCCTATACATTCACCAAGATTCTGGCACCTCAGCTGACCTGAACATCAAGGTGTCACCCAGCTGCCTGCCCTAACCGGTTGACAAACGTAGGTGTGGTTTTGGTGTTGTCACCCCTGTTGACTGAAGAGTTAGCTCGGTTAAAACAAAACAATGAACTATTTTATGGCCTGATAGTCATGGCATTTTGCCTTGAAAATAGATTTAGAATGCCTAAAATATAGGGAGAAGTAATCAAATTTCATACAGATTTTTGTGGATGGAAAAAACCTTAATGTAGCAAAGAGCATATCTTACATCTTTTCTTACTAGAGTAGCTGATATATTATGAAAGCTCTTGTATTGTCTGCTGTGCTGATGTGTTTAAAGAGAATAATACTTGAAGAGCTTTTACTTACCTATAATCTTTGTTGCTGTTCTGTTTTAAGGGGGAACGGTGTATCAGCCAGTCACTGTGGTCACTCCACAAGGTCAAGTAGTGACACAAGCGCTGTCACCTGGGACTATTCGGATCCAGAACTCGCAGGTTTGTTTCATGGGCTTCACAGAATAGTATTCTGGGTTCAGATAAATCTCACTGGTTTTAAGAGTTTTGGTTTAAATTTGACACACTATCAGAATGAGCTCTGTGGACACACACATAGTAACTAATGTAAAATTAATGCAAGCACTGCTATAGGAGTAATAATGGGCCATAAGGTCCCAGACAGATATACCTTGCCACGACAGGTCATCATAGTTCCTACCTGTTAAATATCTTTTTTCACTGATGGTAGAAAAGTATAGGTACATGGATTTAAATTTTAAAAATTAAAAAAAAAAAAAAAAACCACAACAAACCACCCCCAAACTCAACAAACAAACGCCCACCAAACCAAACAAAAAACCCCTTAGAATTAAATATACACTTTTTCAATGATTAAAACTTTTCCAATTGTTGAACTAGGTTGTGACTGCTTGAGGCTGGGCAGGCACTTAAAACGGGTGGGAGACGCTCTCTGTTAACCCCTAGCTTCCCCCAGGAGAGGAAAGGACGGAGGAAAGGGAGAGACACGGATTGGAAATTAAAACTACTTTACTAAAACAATAATAATGGAAAATAGTATAATGATATTAATACTAATACTAATAATAGAAATAAAAGGAGAAGTATACGAAACCAATACTGAGCTTCCCGAAGATGGTTGGGGAATCACAGGCCGCGGCGGCTCGCGCTGCTGCCGCAGCAGGGCGGACACCTGGACGTCCTGGACCGGACTGCGCAGCCGACAGGGACCGGATTCAGGCATGCACGGATCGAGGGCGG